GGCAGACAGCCAAGTTATAGACAAAGAATTAAAGAAATTTCAAGAAGAAGTGCAAAGCCCTGTTAGAAAAAATAAACAAGGACATGAATTCTCAGTTTACCAAAAACAAACAAAAAAGTTGACTCTTAAATATGAGAAGTCATGAAACGTATGTTTTCTCTCCTGTCATTTGGACAAAAATCAAAACATCTCTGTGGTGGGGCTGAAAGAAATGGGTGCCCTCTTGCACTTCACTGATATATATCCCCCATGCAGAATTTAGCAATTTTAGCAAATTGACCCAAATTACTTATGCATGTATTTTCAAACAAGAAACCCTGCATCTAGGCATATATCCTGAAACTACACCTTTACAAAAATGCAGTTAAATATCCCCAGATATTCATTAGAATGTTTAATAAATAAGAGATTGCTTGGATAAACTGCAGTTAACTTCACAAGAGAGTGTTATGTAGCAGTGAAACAGAATGAAGATGCAGTTTTTGGTTCTTTGTGATAGGAAGTAATTCTCAGAACATGTTAACAGTGGAAAAAAATATCTTGTGTAGCTATGCAGCATGCTAACTTTTCTGTGAGGTGGGGGGATGGGTAAGGATAGATAGATGATCAGTACAGGACAGGTAACAGATGAGTGGATGGAGGGAAGAAGAGAAGGGAGGGAAGGATGAATGGATGAATGAACAGACAGGTGGACAGATGGGTCAGTGGATGGATAGCTAGGTAATTTACTTATTTTTCCCTGAGGAAAAACGAGGGAGCAATTTAAATGATTAACTATAAGAAACAAGAGGGGGGTGGGTCGAGGGGATAGGAACAAGATTTAACTGGATGAATCCTTCACTGATTTATATATTTGGAAAAGATAATTGAATTGAAAAGCAGAAATGTGAAGTCTGTGATTAAAAGCATATTTAATTTGAAATTAATTAACCTGGCTGTGTATCAGTGAGGACACAGCATGCAAAGAAAATAATGAATACTTGTTTGTGACATTTTGACCTTCGCATACAGTGGGCTGGCTCTATCATTGAACTATATTCTAAGGACAAAGCAGAAATGCAGAGAGACGTAGGCTTCCCTCAGTTAATTGTGTTGTTGGTTGTAGTGGTTTTGTGATTTTGAAGCTAGTTTGTGTATTATAAATGCCACAAATAACTACATTAATGCTGTAAGAACCGAGATTTTCAGTGTCAGAATCAACCTATAAAATCAGAGAAGTTAAAAAAAAAAAAACCCTAGAACACTGATCTTTAATGGAAAATACCAATATAAATTCAAAAATTAAGTTTTCAGAAATTAAGTTTCTTAGTTCTGTCCTCTGAAAGGGCATAGAAGCAATATGCACGCCAGGGAGCATTGAGTACCCCCACATGTAAATCTTAATTTTTTTTTTATATTGTAAACCTCAATTTTAAGCACCATTCCACAGTTTAAAAAAAAAATGGAGAAATACTTCTTAGGTTTAGCTCTGGGGCAGGGAAGAACTGAGGCGACCTGATGACATTTGTGTCTAGAAGCAAAGAACATGGACACACTGGGAGGGACAGTTGGGTCCGGGTGCAAGACTCTTTCCTGTTCTGGTCTGTTAGCAATAGAAGTGAGGGGAATGTTCTAGATTAAAACAGACTAAAAAAGAATAGCAGCCACATACAATATCTGAACGTCACAACCTGGTTTTGAAAAAACAGCTATAAAATCCTTGGTGACAGCAGGAAAGTGACATTGGGCCAGAGTTCCTGGCTGCATTGGGGTGCTGGGGTGGGCCCGGGTGCTCAGGTAGCGGTGGCACTCTGACTCTGAGGACAAGGGTTAGCCTGAAGGGGTGACGTGTCACAGTAACTTTGGCTGATTTTATAAAACTTTTGATTTGGAAACAACCAAGTTTACAGAAAGTTTACTCCTACACACACACACACAAAAAAAAAAAACTGTCTCTTCTTTACCCACATTTGCCACTTGTGAAAATCGGTAATTTACACTAAATGATTCAGCCCTTTTTATATCTATAGAAGTGTAAACACAAAACAAATAAAATGTTGACAACTGTTGAACAAAGATGCCAGACATATGGGTGTTATGGTAACATTCTTCTCAGGTTTGCATGTGTTTGAAAACTTGTGTAGCTAAAAAGTTGGAGGGAAGAGCTGAAGAGGGCCCCACTTCCAATTTTGAAAGATCTTCAAGAGATACTGTCATGTGAAAAAGCGAAATGTGGATCAGGATACATTCTGTTTCTTACTGCTTGAAAAGGGGATCACTGCAGTCATGAAGTAGATTGGAGGAGATGTTGGTGATGTATTCCATGGCATCAGTGATAGAGGTGTTTCTAGATACTTGACCCCAATAACAAGGAAAATAAAAGTAAGACTCCACCACTGGGATTACCGCATATGGAAAGGCTTTTACACAACGAAAGAAAATATAACTTAAATATAAAATACTTAAGTTTTAAATCTAAATATATCAAATGATATATATCAATTTTATATATATTAAAATTCAATCATATTTAAAATATTAATCACTGGATTAATAATATACTATTATATATAATATAATTTAAATATATTTAAATATAAAATATTTAAGTTAAGAAAACACAAGTTTAAATAGATATCCTAAGGATGGGAGGAAATCATTTCATAAATCCCATCACTGACAAAAGGTGACTATAAAAAAATATGCACAACTCAACAGTAGAGCAACAGACAGCCCAATTAATAAGTTCACAGAGTGCAAACAGATAACTCATCGCAAAGGACATCTGTGAAGACCAGTGGATGTCTGGACAGATGTCGATTACTGCTTCCGGTAACAGTGATGCAGATTATACTGCTTCCGGTAACAGTGATGCAGATTAAAACCGCAGTATCATCTCACACCCGAGAGACTGGCACATATTAAGAAGACCCCCAGCAAGTGGGTGGGACACAGAGGACCCCATTTATACTGTAGGTCCACGAGTTTGGGGAGACTAGAGATGTTTGGAACTTGTCTGGGGTGGAGTCCGGTGAAGAGGCGCCGGTCATCAGGAGGCCCTGGTGTGGCCTGGCTCTCGGGCTCATGTGCCCCCCAGACTTCAGGGACCCTCTGGGCAGGGCGGCGGTGGGCTGTCCGGAGGCATACCCCAAGTCAGAACTCAGGGTCATGCCCCGAAACACTGAACAGAATTACCCTACGCCCACAATGCTGCGTCCGGGCTTTCACCCAGAAGAAGTGACAGTGGGAGCCTGGACGGATACTCGCACCCCATGTTCGCAGCACATTAGTCACAATGACCACAGGGGAAGCAGCCCAGGTGGCCATCGGGGTGAGGGGGACAAGGAAACGTGCGCTGCGTGTGGATCGCAGTGCTCCCCAGGCTTGGCGAGCAAGCCCCAAAACGTGCTCAATGTGGATACCAAGTGCCAAGCCAGGAACGGACCCAGGGCCGTGCTGGGCTCCCCTGCTGCCCCGTCCACTCACACGCACACTTAGAACAGTCACTTGGGAGAGGGGTGCAGGGGAAGGGCCAGGGTGATGGTGCTCATCTGCTCAGGCCGCCGCGACACAGCCACAGCGCTAGACATTTATTGCCTCGCATTTGTGGGGTGGAAGCTGAGATCGGGGAGCTGCTTTCTCGCCGGGGCTTGCGGGCGGCCGCCTTCCCCCTCAGCTCCTCTTCCGTGAGGACGCCGGTCGGCTGCAGTAGGGCCACTACCTCGTGGTACCTGGACCGCGTCTCCGAGGTCCCATCACCTTCTGCGCTCGAGGGGCGAGCACCTCACGCCACGTTTGGGGGCGATTCCGTTCCATCCGGCCGGGAGAGGTGCGCGAGCTCTGGAGCTGGCTGATGGCGCTTAGACGGTGTCAGTGTGCTTCATCCTCCGAGCCGGACACTAGGAACAGTGGCAAGAAGGGTGATTTTGCGTTATATATAGTTTATCATAATACAAAGTAAAAATATACTGAAACAGGGAAAAGAATCTTGAGAGGCACGGGGGAAGTGGGGTGCCTCTGAGAGGGGCCCCCGGCTGATGTCAGAGAGGCCAGGGGAGCTGACAGCGGGAGAAGGGGACAGCGGGAGGCGGGAGTTTGTGAGCCGGCCACAGCGCGTTTCTGAGCCTAGGTCGGGGCAGCGGGCAGGCCCAGCGGGCAGAGGCCTCATCCTTTGTATCTGTGAAGTGAGCGTCGTCGCCAGCGTGCCTGGCCACAGCGTCCTCGAGGGGGTGCTGGAAGGGGCTGGGCGAGCTCGCAGTGGGCACTTCCGCAGGAGCCTGCTTTGCCCTGGTGCGGGTTTTCAGCCAGCCCACCGCCCGCCCGCCCTCAGGCGGACCTGGAAGCCACAGCTGGCCTGCTGTTTCTATAGCGACTAATGTCCTCCAGAGAGCGGGGACTGGAGACACCCCAAGGAATGAGCAGCGTGGGGCCGCAACAGAGAATAAACTCCGGGAGGGTAGAACGTGACCCAGTTTCATTGCCGCCTAAGTGAGAAGATTCCTGGCACGCTCTCTTGGCTACTCTTTAAAAGACGTTTGTCATATTGTTGTCACTAAACCCGGAAAGCGAGGTCACCCTGCAACGGTTTGTGTTGTTCGAGGCTGGCATTGAAGCACATCCCTGAGGGCCCGGGAGGAGCTGGGGAAACCCAGGGAAATCCAGGCCCGGCAACCTGCTCTGGCCACGGGGCCGAAAGCTGCGGAGACCGTCCGCGCCGCCCTTTCTGTCTTCTTCGGACGTGGCCTCAAGGAAGACCCCGGGCGGGCAAGCCGCTTTGCGGGACTTCCACACTGACTCTTCACTGCTTGGCTGCGGACATTTTCCCTAACTGCTCTGTCCCACAGCCTCGCGGTCTGTAAGGGAGGGGAGACAGCACCGATGGCCAAGAGCTGGAAGGGCTTAAGTGAGGTGTGACACTCAGGTCTTTAATAGGCACAGCCGGTCACTAGGATGTGGGCACCACCGCGCCGGGGCAGCACTCAGCCCCCTGTAACTGCGTCCTCGTCTGCCTTCCCTTGCAGTCGGTCATGGGCAGAGCGAAGGAGAGAGGATGGTAGTGTCTGACTTCAGCGTGTTCGTCAGGGACGTGTTGCAGCACGTGGACATGATGCAGAAAGACTACCCGGGGCTGCCTGTCTTCCTGCTGGGCCACTCCATGGTAAGTAGGCCTCACAGGCCCCGTCCTGACGCGGCCTGGTCTCCAGCCTGGTGTGGGCCCTTCTCCTGCCCATCTGCTTTCGGCCAGCCTGGCACACCCCGCTCTGCACGTCCCACTGGGGCTTGCAGGCAACTTAGAGCTTAGGAGACAGAGTCCTGGGGACAGCCCCGACAGCTCACAGCCTCGGCCATTCCTTCCCGTCAGGGCCCCAGGCAGCCAGAGGTCGTCCCCCACCCGGGTCCTTTCTGAGGAATACCCACGTGGAGCCTCTGGGGAAACACCTGTTTTTCATGCCCATGACCCATCAGTCTGTTTCCTGGGAAGGCTCCCCAGGCCCCATCTGTCCCCTGCGGAGCCACACCTCAGAGTGGGGAGGCATCTCCTCGGGGAGAAGCCTGGGGATGTCCCAACCCTACAGGGACAAAGACTCCCTGTGGAAAAAGTCCTTAAAGGCCATGCAACATATGAAATCCCCTAGGAATAAACCAAGTGTAATCTTTACAGCTGAGGTCCTCAGACTGACCTCCCCCGGGACGGGCTTCCTAGGACACTGGCAGACTCTCCAGCGGCTGGAATTTGAGTGCCCATGAAGCTTTGCACTGGGAACAGGTTTCCACCCCTCTGGCCCCCAGCCTGACCCAGTCCCAGCATTTTTCTGACTGGCCTGGCTCCTGTAAGCATTTGCAGCTTCCACCTCCACTCATACTACCTTCTGGTGAGCAAACAGCCAAGGTTCCAGCACAGTCCACATTCACTCTCTTTCTTGGAACCTAAGTTTCTGGAATCTCTAATAGAACCAGGAAAAAAAAAGTATAGCAACCTCTTATTATCATCCTATTACAAAAAAAAAAAAATCTTATAATACGTTTGATGGCATGGCTGAATTGCGGGTCTGCCAGCTTTGGGCATGAAATGAAGCAGGAATGTGTTATTGTTTAGCTAGCAGTCCACAACAGGAGCCTTATTTATAGCTCTCTGAAATATTTGCTCTTGGAAAACCCAGGGAAAAAAAGTGTGTAATAAAATAGTGGCAAAGCGGCCCTCCCTGGTGGCGCAGCGGGTTAAAGCACAGCACTGAGAATCTGAAGCCACTTCCACATGAGTTCGATTCCTGCCTGCCGCCTGCCCTGGAGGAGACCACATGGTGAGCCAGACCTCTCCTGACCCGCCCGCTGCTCCCCTCAGCAGTGTACTTCGTAGATCTGCCTGTTCTGCTCCCCACTGTCTCTGGTGAAGCCTCTCACCGCCCCTGAGCCTCTGGCCTGTACCCCAGTTCTGTATGCACAAATAAATAAATAAATCTTTAAAAAAAAAAAATAGTGGCAAAGCCAGGTTAGCTAGCATTTGATGGTGTCGATTCCAAGGTCGACCTCCTCAGGGCTCTGGGCCAGGGCCACCGTCTAGAAGGCTGTCGGTGGTGCGTGTTGGAAACTGAGTTCTGGTGAGAAGCAGCACACAGCACTGCTGCCTGTCTTGCCTTGCAGGGCGGAGCCATCGCCATCCTCACGGCTGCCGAGCGGCCCGGCCACTTCTCCGGCATGGTCCTCATCTCGCCTTTGGTCATTGCCAATCCCGAGTCCGCGACAACTTTCAAGGTAAACTGACGTCCGGTTCGGTGACATTCCCGGCCCAGAGCATCCACTCCCCGTAGCCGGATCCCGGTGAAAGGGCCAAGGCGCATCCTAGGGCCTCGCACCATTGTGTTAAGGTTTGGACCCAGGGCAGATGCCACTGCCACCGGACTCTGTGACTCCTGCAGACACGTGTTTCCCCCACCACCCACCAGCAACAAAAGAGCAAATGGCGTCCTGCTCGTGCCTATTTTACTGATGAATGTTAAAAGGGGGAAAGGTCACACGTCACCTTTAACCAGTCACTCGCAAGGCTTGGGCTGTTTCATTGGTTGTTCGCCAACTCAGCAGCGTCTCGGAGTGAGTGGCACTGTAGGCAGCTTGTCGGTCCCCAACGGTCCTCTTCCATCCCTTCCCTTTGTTTTTGTGGGTGTCGTAGTGCATGATAGCTTGGGTGCAAGGCTTCGAGCTGCTTTCGCAAGGCAAGAGAGAAGAGCGGATGGTGCCCAGAGGTAGGACGATGCCTCTGTCCTTGAGAACGGGGATGAATGCAGCCACCTCAGCAGGGCTGTGTGGCTGTAGGTGTGGTTGGTGCTGGCCTGCTGTGGGCGTAGACTGTCCTTGGGGACGTGAGGTTCAGGAGAACACGCACCTGAGTGAAGGTGGCAAGTCCCAACCTCTGTATCCCTGTTCACTCTCTCCCTAAGGCCGGGCGATGGGGGGACCGGACAAGCTCGGGCTAACCTTCCTTGCTGTAACGTCACCGTTAAGTAACATCAGGACCAGTGTCCTTAGATCCGAGCCCCCAGCGGAATTGTCCCCGAACAGTGAAGCACAGTGCAAGATGACACTTTATTAAAAGTCCAAAAAGCTTTCCTTCAGCCCACAGCCACCAACTTAATCCCGACCCTTGATGGGGTCAGGAGGGGCCCAGTTAGAATCAGGAAACTGCCGGCTTGAACTGGAGACAGGCTGGGTAAGCCTGGAGCTCTCTGGTCGTTTAACCTGAGAACGCGATACACTGAATTTGCTGAGCAGTGAAGCCAGGTAGCTCCTCGAGCTGCATGCTGGTCTGCGGACGTCACCACTGACGTGGCCATGGACGGTTGTCGGTGAGTCTCAGCACTGCACGGGCTAGTGGAGCTGGGGGCGCCACAGGTCACTCACAGTCACAGGTGGCACGTGAGTGTGCTGCTGCTGGTCATGGAGATGTGTGAGAGGCGGCATCACCTCATCACCTCCGCGACTGGACGGTTGTGATGAGCGGACGAGAGGCAGAATCTTCAGAGGTTCTCCTCTCGTGGAAGAGGCAAGGCCAGGGTCTGAGGAGAGGCGCTCCCCTGAGAGACGTGTGCATTGATGGGAGGGGGGTGGTGATTGGGCTTGGGGCGTGCTGGGCTCGCACTGCATTGGTGCATTGCCTGGATTCCCTGCACCGAAGGCCCGGGAGGGCTCACAGCCTGCATTTGATGGACGAGAGCTCTGAGACATGGCTGGGTGACCCACCAGGACAGCTATACCTATGTGACGGGCTGTTTCCCTGCTGAAAATAGGGACTTTCTGCAGGTGATGATTCCCTTAGAAAACCGAGAGTAGCCGGGACTGCAGTGGGACCTTCCAGAGGCAGCTGGGCCCAGAGGTGGCGCCGGCGAGGTCTCCCCCCCAGTCCTCCAGGCTCCTGGCAGGGGTGGGGCTTCTGGGCAAGCCACCCCTGCGACCTTTCCGAGCCCTGTGCTAATAGATGACCCTGTCAAATCAGAAGCCAGCTGTCCCTGGGGTGGGGTGGGGGGTGCAAATCTCCTCTTATTAACCAAGGCAAATTAGATTTCCTGTTGCCCCCAGACCTGGGGACCCGTCCCCCTCACCCCTGCCCCCAAATCTGTTGCTGCCCCCTGGGTCTTGGGCAGTTTTGACTGACAGCGTCTGTGATTCCTTTGTCTGTATCTGTGCTGCTGGCTGACTTGATTACCCTCCGTGCATCTGCTAGTCTGTCTGACAACCCTTCTCAGAGTCTCACAGAGTCTTGTTTAAATTTAATTTTAACTCTGGAAGAATAATACACGCACTGGTTCAAAATTCAAAAGAGAGAGGGCGCTGAGAGACAGGTGTCGCTCCGGAGGGGCGGCCGGCCACGGCGACCGAGAGCCTCCCACAGCCGCCGCCCCTCTGTCTCACACACGGCACGTGTGCCCTGCGGTTCCGTCTGCGCCTGCCCTTTCGGTCTGCTTGTCTGTTTTCTGGATTTGAGTTTAATTGGGTCTGTTTGCTCCCCGACTCCGCTAGGTGCTCTTCGCCCGTCAGGACGGAAGTGGTGCCGTGTGGCGCCTGGATTAGGCGAGAGCCTGCTGCCCGGCCTCTGGCTCGTTGTTGCCCTCACTCGCTCTTAGGTCCCTAGAGACCACCTCCGGCCGAGAGAGCCGAGGCCAAGAAGGGGCCCCGTCACGTTGTCGGGGTTCCCGGCTGGGGTTGCAGATTCCAGGCCTGGCCTCTGGGTCCTCCCCCAGAGCTCTGTGCATCAACTGCCACACAGTTTCAGGGCACCAAGTCCCTGGGAGACGGAGCCCCAGAATCACTGGAGTGGGTAGCATGAGATGCCCTGACCTTTGAGGAGACAGACATGTGGAAGGTGGCACCCCTCGCCCCCAGAAATTGGAGTAGACAGATCCTCTCCACAGCCCGCACAAATCTGGTTCTTAACTCTACCCTGTATTTTCAATGAGCCGAGATATATTTAGCCTAGAAAAGAGACAAGAGGGACAGAGGCTTCTGGTCCCTCAGTGCTGTGCTAAGAATGTGGTTACACAAGAGGATGACAGCGGGAGAAATTTAGAATCGAAAATCCTGTACAGTTTATGAGGCCGTTTCATGGGGGTGAGTCCAGTGTCCCATGCTGGGAGAGGCAGGCCACAGGCGTCCTCGGAGCAGAGGGGAAGCCCTCGGTCACCCAGCTAGTGGGGTGTCAGGCTGCGACCCTTCTGGACTCCGTCCCTGGGAAAGACTCAGGACTGCAGGCTGCAGAAACCCTCTCCCTGCCAGCTGTGGGCAGGGCAGGACCTGCAGTCCCTCTGGGCAGAGCCCGGGGTCAAGACAGACCCAGCCTGGTAGGAAGGAAATCTTGTAAATGACCTCCTGTTATGGCCAAGAGGTTGTCCCCTGGGCTCCAGAGTTCCAGAAGGGGCAGCCAACCCACAGCTTTCCAGATGCTTCCACTACCCATCTACCAGGGCACCTGGCCAAGCAGGGAGAAGGAGAAGGCCTCTCTGAGAGCCCAGCGCTCCGTGCGTGACAGGCATTGTCTCGTGTCCTCTCCCTCACCACTCTGTCAGGAAGGGAAAGCATTCCCAATTTACAGACAGGGAAAAGAGGACAATTGTCTTGTTCAAGGCAACCTGAGCTGCAGTTAGGTTGGCAAAAACATGGCAGGAGGCCCCCATGCACCCTGAAACACCCCCAAGAGTTGCTGCACTTGGCTTTAGCTCACTTCCTGTCTGACTGTCGTTCATCCGTGTTCAGCCCCAGATCAACAATAGAAGGCTCTCGGAGTGTGTGTGTGTGTGTGTGTGTGTGTGTGTGTGTGTGTGTGTGTGTGTCGGGGTGGGCGGTGTGGACATGGGAACACGGGGAATGCCCATTCTTCCCCACTTCAAGTTAGACCCAGGCGCTTGGACTTAGCTGTGACCGTGACCTGGCCCACTTGGCTGCAACGTGTTGCCACTGACTGTCAGGCACCAGCTTCCCGACACAGGATGCTAGGTACAAGTCATCACCCCACCACGTTTTGGGGAGCTCCTGCTACGTGTCAGGCACTGCGTGCACATGCAGCAGCAACAGGTGCCCATCCTTCCCAGAGCAGGTTCCGTCTGCCCGAGGGGGCTTTCTGCCCTCCCCTCAGCAAGTCTGGGTCGACAGTTGACCCCTGCACAGCTGCCGCCCGCACAGATGGCGTGAACTTGCAGCCTCCTCTTGCACGGGTCAACTGGCTAGAGCCACTTTAGAAGAGAGTGATTGTAATTACCTCCCTCATGTCAAGTCTTTCACTGGCAGGAGCTTAAAAATGGTCTTAGGGAGCCATTACGACCTTTCCGATCAATAAAGGCATTTGTGCGAGTCTCTGGTGTTTAAAGTGACGGCACTGCCGTCCTCCAGGACACAGCAGGACAGTCGCTGGCCTCACGCCTCCGGGGATGGCCCTCACTTCTGCAGCAGCGTGCCCTTTGGCGGGTGACATGCCTGGGGTCTGTCCGCAGCGGTGGCATCTGCCTGGAAGCTGCGGGCCGCATGCTTCCTCGGTGTCTGCCCGCTCTTGCACTCGGCCGGTGCCGCTTCATGACCAGGAGCCGGAAGGCGGCTCACTGGGGCCCACCGTGTGGGGACTGTGTCTCGCGGGACCTCCCTGTAAGCTCTCGAGGTTCATCCTATTGCCGCTGTTTTAGAGGTGAAGAAACTGGGGACCAGAGGCCTTCTCAGGGATTCAGAACCAGAGTTTGGGCCCCTCGTGGCCTGGCGAAACTGGTCCTTGAGACCTGTCCCCGCCGAGTGCGCTTCCCTCAGCACTGAGGTTGCCCCGAACTGACTCAACCCTTGGAGGGTCATAATGAGGGTGGGGATGTCTTGCCGCAAGGGGTTCCACACCAGGTTACCCCTCTCCTGAGCTGGATCCGAAGCTCTCTCCACGCTCCCACAGGATTATCCGAAGATTTCGCAATCCTTGATGGAAACGGCAACCAGATTGGTAAATTCTTGGACCCCACTTGCTTCATGGGTGAGCCTCCCCCCCACACACACACCTCTGCCTGCCTCCTGTGTCTTCCTGTGGAATTGGGGGCGCTCACTACTGATGGTGGAAGCAGAGGGAGACGACGACAGGAAGCAGCCACTTGGGCAACATGCTGGTGTGGGGTCTCCTGGGTTCTGGGTGTCCCTGCCTCCTTGCTTCCTTCCTCCACCTGCCCTTTCCTCCTCCTGATGAAATGAGCAAACCCCAAACAGCAGAGAAAGGGGTGCCTTTGCAGCTGTTCCAAGCGCCCTGCACCCCCCCCCCCGGGGGGCTCCCTCAGGTCTTTTGTTGGGAAGAGGCTAAGCTCCCAGGCTTTTTTTAAATTATTATTATAACATCATTATCATCAGAAGATTTCCTTCCACCCAACTGAGTCTTATCAGAAATGTGGTTTGGAACAACTTACCCTGCAGGTTTAGAATAAAAGAGCAGAGGGTCAGGGGCTCCAGACATCCCTCTGTGCCCCCTCATGTCCCTGCCCCCCCCCACCCTAGTCAGGAGCACGGCTCTGCTCTGGCTGCACAGAAATCACCTGGGGAGCTTTGACAAATGCTCACGTCAGGGCCCCACCTCGGACAACTCAGTCAGACCCTCGCGGGCTTGACAGGTGATCAGAGAACCGTGTCTGACGCACGCACGCACGTGCCCTCGCGACTTCACGGCACACTCCGAGGTCCTGGGGGTTCTGTGAAAACGCTGTTCCTGACCCACAGACCCCAGTGTCCTCAGGAGCTGCTGGTGCTCCTGTGTGAGCAGCACGCGAGAGCAAGGCGACCGTAGACTACCAGGAGGAGGTGTGGCTGGAGGGTGGACCCCGTGGAGGTGCCATCGGGTGGGAGCAAGGGTTGTCTTCCTGGGAAGAGGGCGCCTGTGGCACGACACGGCCACGCACAACCATGAAGAAGCTGCGGAACCCGCAGGCTGCATCCCTGGTGGGGCCCGCGGCCTCGTCTATATTTGTGACTGGACAGCCAGTTCCAGTTGCTGGCGCACCAGTATCTTCCATGGATCAGCTGCCATGGAGCTGATCCTCTGGTGCAGCCGCTCCCCCCGAACCCCAGGAGCCGCAGGAGTGAGAACAGCACCACCCCGCGGGTCCTCTCGGGGGGATGTGCACTGCTGGGCACATCCGGGGACCTGGCACCTGCCACTTCTGGTCCTAAGCCTCATTCTCTCCTGCCACGTCTCCTGCTTGTGCTTTGGGGGGCAGGACACTGGTGGGGGAGGTGCGTCCTCACTCGGACTTGGCTGGGGGTCAGCTGCCTTGGATTATTTAGTTTGTGCAGGGGCCAAATCCTTGCACCACTCAGTTGTAAGACAGATGCTTCTCTGGAAATCGCGGTCCTCCTTTATTCCACCTGTGAAGCTTTCTTCTTGGAAGCTCCCTTTCACGGCAGAAAGTGTTCCTGTTGATGGAGGAGGACACGTCTGCTTTCCGGGAGAGAGCACAAGTGTTTTCTCTGCGCGTCTCATCTTTCCGGGCTTCCCAGCCCTGCGAAACCCAAGCAGGGATGGTTTGAGTCACGGCGTGGCTTGCCTTGTCCCTGCCTAAGCCTCAGTCTTGAGTGTCTCCCTGGAAATAGAGGCCTTGGCATTTTGGGTAAAAATGTTTTGGCTTAAGAGGTGCTAGTGGCAAGAGCGTAAACTCAAGAACAAAGCTGAGATCTCTTCACAGACAGCTGGCAGGTGCTCGAGTCCGCGCAGAACCGGGTGATACACAGCAAACCGTAAATTGCTGCAAAGGAGGGGTCCGGAGGTGGGCATGGGGTGTTGGAGCACACCTGTGCGGCCCCGCCTTCCCGGTGTCGGGGTGCGGTGTGCTTGCGCCTCTTGCTCACTCTTGATTAGCAAATCTAGAAGCAGGTGGGAAGGGCTGGCCGGTCACACCAGAGTCCGTGTCAGGCCCCAGGCCCGTTCTGAGAGCAGACTTGGAGATACACATTAATTTTCTCCCCAATAATGTTGCCCTTGAACCTCGATTTCTTCAAGAGAGTAGCTCTCTCTGCCCGCCTCCCTTACGCAGTGGGAACGCAGCGAAGGCCACCGGTGGAGCCAAAGCCCTCGCCTCGGCAGTGTGCTTCCCATCTGCCCTGTTCCTCTTCATTTCGACACGGCTTCTTCGTCTCGGGAAGCACAGATCCCAACTTCTGAATGGAGGCTCCTAGGGGAGCCCAGTTCCGTAGTAACTTGCAGACATTTGACTTGAGCTTACAACCCCCCGGATCCCCCTCCCAGTCCGGCACTCGCCCACAGAGCTCGCCCACCCCACCGCTTTGACCTTGCCTAGCACACCTTCTCCGTCCCACGAGGCATCCCATGCTGTGGACAGACTCGAGGGGCTTCCTGTAGAGTTCCTCATGTTTCTGCGCTAGGCTTCCACATGTCAGCCCAGGACTCAGCTTGCGCCTGCCGCCTTGAGGGCAGCCTGCCCACGTGATGGGGTCTGCTGTGCCCGGACACCTGGACACCAGGCTCAGGGTGCAGCGAGCACTAAGTCTCCGGGAGGTACCGTCGGCCCTGAGCACTGCTGACGCTCAGCACAGGTTCCTATGTAGCGTGTTCTTGGAGGAGCAAAGCCCTTTCTGAGTTCGCCTGCGCCCGTGGCCTGGGAACCAGGTCTGGAGTGAAGCTGCATCCTCCTGCGTACGTGGGGGATTTTTGCAGCCGTCAGTCTGATGGGAGGTTGGGGTGGGACACAGTGTCACCGGCAACTGCTGCTTCTGCTCGGCCACAGGAGAGGCCAGGCCCCTCCTTCGCCCTCACACACAGGAAAAGAACGATGCAGGTGGTGGCAGGCAGCTTAGGGGAGCAAGGCCCTTCCTTCTGCAGCTGACCGCATTGTACGGTGCTGAGCCTCTGTTTTCTTGTCTGTTAAATCAGGATAAAACCTCACCTCATGGTGTTCGTGGGCCGAGATCTCACGGCTTGCCACCTTCCGTGGGATTCTATTTTCAGCATCTCACAGCTCACTTGTGAAATCGCATCTTTCTTCCGAGTGTCTGCGCTCAGGGCAGAAATGAGAGCAGCGCCCCCGGGTAGACACCAGACCAACAGGGGAGATGGGGTGCGGTGGGGAGTTTTGTACCTGAATCGGGATCAAGTTCCAGGAGTGTGGGTCACTGCCTGCTGTACATCTGCTGGTGCACACGGGGATCCCGTGGGCAGCTAGGGAAAGGTAGTCAAATGCCACATCCAGGTGGCCATGCAGCACAGCCAGGAATCAAATCGGTTCTCTCGCCCTCTGCCACGCATCCCTTAATCGGGCTGGTGACTCTTGCTGTTTCTTGCCCAGCATAACTGGGACAATCAACAGACGCTTTCTGATCTCAGCAGGCTCCTTGGGGTCCTTCCGCGCTGACCTGCCTCACTCCCAGGTGACCCAGGTCCTCTGCTCGCTGTGTATTTTTAGGGTCCCCAGAGAAGTGGCTTGTGCACAAGAGCTTAACTAGGCCGCTCCTGTAAGTAATTAACGTTACGACCGACGAGGGATGACTGGGCAGACGACAGCCCAGTCATCCAGAGTGGCAAAAAAGGACCTGGCATCCCTGTCCGAGGCTGCAGGATCAGCGCCGGGAGCACCTCAGGCACTCAGCCTTGGGAAGGGAACCTGGCTGATGTTCAGCTTGGGCGTCACTTTCCTTAATTCACTGTAAACTGTCCCGTGGGCAGAGCTGGGCACGGATCCCACTGCGTTCACAGCCGTGTTCTCCTTCCCTGCTAGGTCCTTGCCGCGAAAGTCCTCAACCTTGTCATGCCAAACATGTCCCTGGGCCCGATCGACTCCAGTGTGCTCTCTCGGAATAAGGCGGAGGTAAGAGACGTTCTGGAGGTCTGGGCTAGTCTGGGAGGTGGGAAGTCCGAGTCCTGGCCCTCGCCTGTGTGTCCTGTGCCCAGAACCTTCATGAGGCAAAGGGGATGTGGAGACACGGAGACATCATTTGGCTTCAGGACTGGGTGGGAGGGGCTGGTGGGTGTGAGTCCTGAGCCGCTCCCTGAACATGGAAAGGAGCTAACCACATGAAGGGTCTGTAAATCTGCTTGGTCTCCTTTGGTTACAAGTAGCGAAAACCTAACCCAGGTGGCGTAAGTAATAAGCGGGCTTCCTTGGTGAATATAACTGAGACCTCAGGTATGGCCAGACTGCAGGCACACAAAGTCCTGGTCACCACCTGCCTCTTCCCAGCGCTCAGCTTCCCTGGTTTGACTTCACCCCCAGCCAGCCTTTCCCCAAGTAGAGGCAAAAATTGCCAGCAGAGCTTTACCTAAACAACCCCAGCAGAAAGTCTCGGGGCTTATTCATCCTGGCTGGCTCTGGGGCCTGAGTTACTTGTCGGGAAGGGGCCAGTGTCAACCTCAGGCAGCCTCAGAGAGGGTGGCGAAGGTCAAGTCCTTGGGGGCATGGAGGGTGGGCAGGTTTTGGGGTGGTGACATCAGAGGATGAAAATGTGGGTTCAGGCAGCCAAGTGTCACATGTCCCCTCCACTGGTGGGGGGCGTGAAGGCCGGGCAGGGGGACCTCAGAGAGACTGTGGTGGAGGGAACAGAGCGAGGTGAAGGCGTTCACCTGCAGAGCAGTCAGTCGATAGTTCAGCCAGAACATAGAGAGGCGGGTAAGCTCAGGTAAGCTTCAGCCCCCGCCCCATCTCCCAGAAGCTCCTGCCCTGGCAGGACAGGTTGCAGGTCAGAAAGAGGCTGGTCACTGTGGGAAAGATTAACTGGAGGTCGTGCCATCCAGCCACATCACCAGCTCTGGGCTCAGACTCCAGGCTCCACATGGACAAAAGGTCAAAGCCAGGCCTCCCTGCTGGCCTCGGGGCTAAGTCCCAGTGCTGTGCCCCCACGAAGGCCTGTATTTGGTCCCCAGCCAGGGAGGGACCCACACGGCGCGGCAGACTCCTCCTGTCTCCCCCCTGCTCCCCTCAGCGGTGTATGTCAGTAGAGCTGCCTGTTCCGCCCCCACTCTGTGTCTGGTGGATCCCCTCTCTCCCGCCCCCGTAACCTCTGGCCTACACCCTAGTTCTGTGGGGCAGCATATGCCCCACAGAATCCAGAATCCCAAAGACTGGGGCCGGCCTGATGAGACGCTGCCTGGCAAACCAACCCACTGCCCGTTTACGTAAAGACCAGCAGCCGCACCTTGCTGTGCGCCCGCCCGTGGGCAGTCTGCTCTCCTGGCGGCCCCGGAGTGCAGATGCACAGACGGAGGTTCCACGGGAGAACTCGCCGGGCCCCTCGGCGGGGAAGGTCCCCAGCCGCGCTCTGTCTGTGGGGCAGTGACCCTCTACCTACGGTCAGCAGCAGAAATAGTCCCTCCACCACCACCATCACCCCCGCCCCCAGCATCTGGAGACGCTGGAGTCGTCTTCAGGATTAACCAGATCCTTTTGCCTCATTTCTACCTCAGTTGTCCCCCTTTTGTTTGTTGGCTCCCTAGAGCCCCTGGACATGGGCTGGGGTACTCTGGCACTCCAGTGGAATTGTGGGCTCCCTTGAGACTGTTAGACTGTAGTTGTGTTAGGAAATTTGACCTCCTGGCCTTCCGAGGCACTTCAGAGTGGACACTGAAGTAAGAACTGCCCCTGAAGTGTAGGAGACACTGATCAGACCTGCCAGACCGCCCCGTCACTGTAAGTCAGGTGGCGAGAGAAGCTGGGGAGTGGTGGGGTCTGTGGGAGCCAGCAGGCACCCGAGTCATCCACATTCAACTTGATTTGATTTAAAACCATCTTGGGGTCCTCCCTGGTGGCGCAAGGGGTTAGGACGCAGCACTGCAAGTGAGCCACAGCCCTAGAGGCGACCCACATGGCACGGCAGACCTCGCCTGACCTGCCCGCTGCTCCCCTCAGCAGTGGACTTCATCGATCTGCCTGTTCTGCTCCCCACTGTGTCTCTGGTGAATGCTCTCACTGCCCCCTTCACCTCTGGCTTGTACCCCAGTTCTGTATGCAGAAATAAATCTTAAAAAAAAAAAACATCTTGAAGCCAAATTTGACCCACCAGTGTGTTGTCCTCTGGTCTTTCTGCAAGACTCATGAATAGAGAAAAATTACACAAACGAGCATATACAATGAAAAGGCCCAAGTTTAGGACTGAGAAAGATCACAGACAAAATATGCCACTTGATTCAATCCCGACGTGCATAAGACTGACTTTCACCCCATCTCAAAGGTGAAGAAACTGAGGCTCAAAGGCTCCATAACTTGTCCAAGTGTCCGGCTCCACAACCCGGTCTCGGGACAGGTTCTCTCCGCCAGGAAAAGAGCTTCCTCCTCCAGGTCCGCAGATGATGACGTGAACTGCTAAGGGGAGCAGAGGGCGGGTCAGGAGAGTCGGGGGTGCAGCTCATGCTGAAGCAGCTGCAGCTGGCTTGCGTGTTGTGTCCTCACCCGGTGCCCCACCAGGGAGGGCCCGAATGTGCAGTGTCTGGTGAAGTCCAGTATCTGCAGCGGCTGGGGTGGGGTGGCAATGGAGAGCGTGGAGCAGCTGAGGGGAGCCAGCTCCCTTTGAGATCTTTCAGAAGGAAACGCCCAGGGTCAGGTCCCTGGGTTTGTGCGTCTTAGCACCTGCCAACATATGGGCAAAGGGGTAGGAAAGAAGAGATAACACAATGATTCCAAATCCCTTTTGTTTCAAAGTAGTAGATTTTAGAACTTTTACTTCATTTTTGAAGTAATGGAGAATTCCATGATAAAACAGAAGAGTTGGGGGGCCAGCACCCCACTGTGACTCCCCTTCAGGGGTGCGGTGGTTTCTGACTGGCCAGGTAGGCCAGGTGGTCTTTAGAAACACTAATCAGCGAGCCTGCTGGGAACAGCGGGAGGGGGCGGGAGGCGGCTGTGTGCGCCTGCAGGCTGGACTCCAGCTGGAATAAATAGGAGCCAGGGTTTGCTGTCCTCAGACTCCTAAAGAGCCCCTCGCTTATCCCTGCCTCTCTCTCTCTCTCCCTTTGAACATTCCACTGAGCTTTAAAAATAGCAACGCCACCAGGGGGAAATCTGTTCAGAAAAGGCACCTCCCGGTTCTAACATCAGGGTGTCTTAAGGCCTGTCTTTAGCGGAGACTTTTCCTATGGAGCCCTGCAGCTATAAAAGCCTCCAAGAGATAAGCGATTTTCGCCTAACAAGCTCGCTAAGGCAGGGCTGTGGAGGAAGGGACCAGTGGCTGAGGATGGGGGTGCGCAGGGAGTTTGCAAGTCTGCCTCGGGAAGCCACCTTGCCATTTGAATGTCAATCGCAGGGGTTTGTTGGAGGTTTGCTGTGGCGAGTGTGCTCACAGCCCACCCAGGCTTGTTAGTGTGTCACCCTTCCAAGCTGCGGCTTTCAAGCTGCGGCTCACAGCTCACCTCCTCCCCGCCTGTGTGAAGTCTCCAGGGAGAAAAAGCCTTGCCTGGCCTCAGCACCCAGCCACTGTGCTGCGCTTCTGTGTCAGGCACTGTGGCCTTTTGCTCTTGCCAGCATTTGCCCTGGTGGCAGCTTGGGCCCATTTGCCCTGGTGGCAGCTTGGGCCCAGAAAGGGCAACTTTCTTACCCAAGGACACAGAGCTACGAAGTACGCACTTGAGCCCAGATCTCTCTACTCTGAGCCAAGTGCTCTTGGCACTGAAATCTTGGTAACAAAGAAGTTGCCAGTTGGGCCTTTTCTCCCTCTGTGTGTCTACACATTTGGAGTCACTGATCAGAACACTGGAGTGCTGAGATGCTAACCATTCCACCCTCGACAGTGGGTTTTTCAGAATGTAATGAATCCCTCCCACTCTAAAAAGCCTGGAATGTTCTAAATAGTTCCTTGGCTAAGGACATTTGGGGGAGCTGAGAGGAGGGAGTCTCTGAGGCTCTCTTCCTGCCCTCAGGTCATCAGTGACCCTCCAGTGACTCACAACCAGCAGGCACTGCTTGCTTTCTGGGGTCCAGTTTTCAGCCCTGTGAGCTGGGTAGAGGCAGGGAGGAGGACACCCCGCAGTTCCGAGAAGACCTCTCCAGGGACATCACTCTTCGGATAGGACAGCGAGGCTGCTGCCTTCGGGAGCCACGGCTCTGTTCTCTATAAATACTCTGGGAGGCCCTCCAAGCACATCCTGGCTAGTTTAGACTCACGCTGGCAGGCCAGATGGCGAGTTCTGCACGCCCTCCCCCAGCCCCGAGCTGTGAGAGTGGCGACTCTGCTTCCTTTCATTTCTCTGGGTGGGTGCTGCTCCTCACCCCCACCCAGCATGTCAGCTGTGCCCAGCTCTCCTGCTCCCCACGCCTCTTCCACCCACACTACCACGAGGCCACCTTAGCCCTGGCCCTCTGAGACCCTGCGGGGTCTGGGAAAACGTGGTCAGACTGAGGCTTCTGCCTAATTGAAACAGCTAAAGATAGACCCCAGCCTCCCACAGAAGCCCCCTCTCAGAATAGGTTATTCACTTCCTAGCAAGCCCAGCTGGGTGATTTTATTCTGCGAGTCTCCATCGCTTGTATCTTATATTCCCCGCAGAAGAACTGTGTGTGTGAGGCGGCTCTCACCCAGCCCTTAGAGAGATATAATGAGCCATCAGAACATCTCTTGACACTGCTCTGCCAGGGGCAGCTGTCGGGGAGAGCATGAGTGGGCCTCCCTTGTCCCAGGCCCCGTACAGGCCGGGTCTGGGGCTCTGCCCGCCGTGGCTGGTGGCTGCTTCCAGCCCTCCTCAGCCCAAGCACTCCAGGCACATCCCGGAAGTAGGCGCCTTTCACGGCTACAGAGAAGCCAGTGACGCAGATTTTCGGGGGTAATCCCAGCTGTCACCCAGGCCCAAGGCTAAACAAGGTGCTCCCTGGGCCCACGAGCCCAG